GAGGAGGAGATGAGGCCCAGCAACAGAGCAGAATACCATGCATCATGCTCTGGTAGAGCAGAGAGAGAGCCTAGAGAGAAAATGGAAGGAGGATATGGAATGAGGTTCTGATCCATAGCACAATAAACTGAACAAGGAGGAAATAAAAAGGGTAGGCACACAGCCCAGCCCACAAGGCTTAGGACCGTAGGAGTCAGTTACACACTCAGTCATGGTATTGATGTCCTCTTCATGTGGGCAAGGAGAAGTCCAGTCTCGGGCTTTTTCAGCTTCTTCAGACCACTTTCTCACTCTTCTTTTCTTCACAGGTTGTCTCTGAACATTTGTTCATATTGCGAGCATAGAAAAACAAGACTGTGATCTGATTTTCCCAGAGGAGCTTTTGCGATGGAGATCTGTGAATCCTTGACATTTGCTTAAAAGAAAGGCTCTTGTTTTCTCTGGTGGAGCAGCTGACAAATTGTTGGAAACATTAGTAGAATAGCAGAGAGTGAGGCCTGGTTAAAATCTTCTGGCTTCAACTTCATTTCAGCTTTTGCAATGTTAATTAGCTGATCCTTGTAACCCATTTTGTTGCTATGATTAGAAATCATCCAAACAAATGAGCAAAGTAAAAAAAAAAAAATAATAAATAAATAAATATATATATATATATATATATATATATATATATATATATATATTTGCAACAGTCCACCCATTTGAACAGGATGTAAACCCAGAGAGAATAATGGTCAAAAAAAAAAAAATTCTTCTTAGAAACACAGAAATCAAAGCTTTAAAGAAGAAAAAAATCGGAATGTAAGTAACAGATCAATGCTAGCATGCAGCCACCCCGAGAGACACAATTCTAAAATAGAATTGAATCAGACATAAATCACGGCCTTTAACCAGGTTGTGGAGTTTTAGTAGAGATCATAAGAGCTTGATTGTTCAGTCCACATGTGTTTTGTGGGTTTGGTAAAAACTTATGACCTTGTCCTTGCTGCAGAATTCTTGGTTCCTGGATTGGCTTTATGAGCTACCTAGTCTCTGGATCATCATGTTGTTTTGCATTCTGTGCTTAAATCAAGTTACTTTACAGAGCAGAATATTTGTGCTAATTAAACCCATCTTCTTTAGGCTGTTGATCCACAAAAATGAACTTCAGGTGCTCTATTCTTCACTTGAACTTACTGCCCTTCTATTACAACTCTGTCTGCTAATTAGATTGAATTTCAGCAAGACTCTTTCACAGATTTACATGTTTTAATAATACCGCAATGTAAATGGAGTGAGCTGATAACTAAGTGGCAGAGAAGAATTAGCAAAGTTAACATTTTAAGCTGATAATGGTTTTGCAACTGCAATAATTTATAAATACCCAATGGCCCTTACAAAATTGAGATAATCTGTAAAGTAAGATTGTTTATTATGCACAAGACAAAAGAACAGTCTGTTGATTATAAAAGTACCTAAAATCATCTACGAAAGGCAACGTTATTAAAATCATCCCCGTTCTTAGTCAAACAAGGTTTATTTTTACACTCCCCATGATTATCTGTATCTTATTGGAACTCAGGTTTGCACACGTTGATTAATCTCTCAATTCATTCCATGTGTGTAGAAAGCAAAATTTAATTATAGGACTATATAAGAGAGCATTAAGCAAACACCCTGAAAAATTACATTTTTATATCATAATCATATATTTCTTTCATGTTTGTGGTACCCCTACTCTTTCCCTGCACCCATGATCCCCCACATGGCTCAAGGCTATCTGTGAATATGACTTCTTAAGGCTTTCTTTGTGCCACTCTTTCATAAGACCTAGATTTGTTGAGTGAACAGATACTAGTTGTATAGTTGACAGTCTCTCCCCTAAGCTTTTCTGATTTGTGCTGTCCTTGCGTGGCCTGTGAGTTTAGGTGGACGACCCTGTCTTGGGAGGTGTGCAGCTGTGCAGTTCTCCATTTTAATATGATGGATTGAATGGAGTACTATGAGATATCTTAAACCTTGGATATTATTTTATAACCAAACCTTTCTTTAAACATGTCCCCAGCTTTATGTCTACCCTGTCTGCTGTGCATCTTGGTCTCCATGATGCTGTTTATCTACTCATGTCCTCACAGAAACTTCTGAGGCCTTCAAAGACCTGCAGTATTTACAATACACAGAGATTAAATTTCACAAAGCTGGACTCTGTTTACCCTAACGGTAATTTCTGAAGACATTTGATTTCACAAACGTTTTTAGGTAGAAGTACCATACTTAAGGGGGAATATTCTGACTTTTATTTGTAAACAGTTTGAAAACCATGCATCATCTCCAGCTTCATTGCCTTCCAACAAGAAGGCTCTGGGTTCAAGTCCGGGTCTTTCTGCGCTGTGCATGTATGGGTTGCCTCTGAGTTCTCTGGTTTCCTTCCACAGTCCAAAGCCATGACTACTGTGTTAAGTGGTCTCTGTAAATTGCTATTAGGTGTGTGGTTGTTTGTCCTATGTGTCTCTGTGTTGGCCTGAGATGGACTGGTGATTTGTCCATCATTTGTCCGCCTTTCTCCCAATGACTGAGTGAGCTATAGACAATGAATGGATGGGTGTATCTTCTCCTATACAATTATGCAGTACTTTGTGTTGGTCTATCAGAGAATAGTAAAATACATGGAAGTTTGTGTTTTCCAACATGACAAAATTTGAAGAAAAAAGTATGAACACATTTTCAATTAACTTTACTAAAGGGATGACAAGGTATGCTGTCAAGTTAAAAGAAGAGTCAACACTATTTTCACACATATGTTTTTATTTGTCAAACTGAAAGAGTTTGTTTGAAGCAACATTTTTTTTTTATTTTACTGTACAGTCTCTCCCCCCTATGCAGGCTTAAACCTAACCAGTGTTCAAACTGCTTACTTTTCTAGATGTAGACATAGGAGGTAAGAAACAATTTGTGAACAGATGACACAGAAATACAAAGACAGCATGGCTTCTCACTTTGCTTCCATTTTGTTCATGTTAAATGAAGTTTTACAATGTGCAAGACAAACTGACAAGAGGTGTAAAGTAAAAAGGAGTTACACTGCAGATATATATGAAGAAAGATTGTGTGGTGTGGACATCTTTGTTATACTGTACTGTTTTCATCTGTACATCATGCAAACGTCCTGAAAACTTTGTAGCAGCCCTGCTCCATCATACATGCTGAAAGTAAAAGCCAGTAACAAAGATTGATCAGTCCAGATTTTGGCCACGACAGTTATTTGGCAATAAAGCATTTATGGGTCACAATTTAAATAGCCAAAAAAAAAAAAAAAATTGTGAGACACAATTAATGCATTTATTCTCTGCTCACAAACCTACAGAGTGGCAGTCAATGGTTCACACTAAGCACAGTTTTCACACAATGACAATCTACAGCAAAAGGCGTTCAGTGTAACTTACACAAGTCAATTGTTCAAAGTCATTCCTTTTCATATCTGCGACATTACAGAGTAGAAGGGTATCACATAAGTGTCTTATATACTGCGTATGCTCAGATCAGCTCCACTTTTCCAACTTATTACAAACCTTACTGGTAGATTGTTTTACTTAAAAAAATTTCCCGGTACAAAACCACACTACGTAAATTTTATTGAAATTTTGCACATGTGCTCTTGACTATTTTAGGACAGGCTTAAGTAGGAAAATGTTTGAAGTCAATTTTAACTTGCAGGTTTTCAGATGAAATAATGTAAACAACTGTGGTCATTAGAGGAAAAACATGCAGTCAAATTATTTGGCTGTTTAGAGAACTTTTGAGAGCCGACGAACTGTAAATGAAATCATATGTGGCACATGTCTGAATGTAGCACTCAATAAATTTGGCAGACCAAATTTTAACCACAGAATAGCCTACAAAGCTTAGTTTGTTTACCAAAACAGAAAAATCGACTTTATGCAGGAAAAATCTGTATACATGTAAAAGAAACAATGACACTGTTTCTTAACTTGCCGGATATTTTGTCACATAATATAAAATGGTGTCTATGCCTGTCAAAAAGTAGAGAAATGAAGACCATTTTCTGAAACATCAAGCTCTGTCCAATCTCAGAAGTACATTATATGTTTTCCATATAACGAGTCTCCATTTTGTACAGTGTATGCGTATTGGGATAAAGGTTGTGAAATTTAAGTTCTGATGGTGCAGAGTAATTTAATTCTGCTGTGATGTACCATCACAATTTTCTTATTGATTTTTTCCTATTTTTGAATGAAATGTCATTACTTTATACAAAATCTATGAGTACCTCTAATTGCCCAGCCAGCATGCCTAGGTGGGCCCCATGTGGGGCAAAGGAGGGGTCCCATATGGGTTTGTCCGCGGGTTCCACGATGGCCCCACATGGGTTTGCCCATGTAGGACCACAGCCCACATGGGCCCTACATGGGCCCTAAATGGACAAACCCATGTGGGCCACCACCATATAGGGCCCATGTGGGCTGTGGCCCTACATGGGCAAACCCATGTGGGGCCATCATGGAACCCGCGGACAAACCCATATGGGACCCATATGGCCTGCCCTCCTTTTCCCCACATGGGGCCCACCTAGGCATGCTGGCAGGGTTGGTCAAATAATTGTTAGCTTAATTAATAAAAACGGGTCCGACCCAATGCTGAGAGAGCCTCTATGTTACTCAGTCTGCAAAGGTAAGTGAATCTTTGTTGGTGCAGACTGAATTTCTACACAACGTAGTATGAAAATAAGTAGTAACTGCAGCAATTTAGGATTTAGGACCTTTGTGTGGTATGTATGCTGCCTGGTCCTTTGTGAAAACCATGACAGCCTTTCTTAGTTGGGGATCTCGTCGCCTATTCCACAGTATGTATATGTGGAAAAGTGATGCTGTAATAATGTTGTTTAACCCAAAGCAGTGCATCTCTGGTGAAATGCAAAATAGTGCAACAAAGTTATAAGGTTTTGACGCAACTGGTGTTATCGCACATCTGTAATGCCTATGCAATTATTTTATGTAGTTTTGTGTCCTGCAAGTATTACTTTACATAAAAGTACAGTTTTTAACACAAAACATTAATACTTAGGTACCCTGCAATAAACACTAGAGTTCTCTACTGTTGGTATAGCCCATCATCAATGTTCGAGCAAATTACACACTTTTATTAACACAGTCTGCATTTGTTTTCTTTTGAAAATTGGCAAATTAATATTTTGTTTATTATAAGACATAAAAAACTTTACTATTTGATGTATGTACATTATGCTGATGACATCAGTAATTTCTTTCTTTCCCTCATCTGCTATTTTCTGTGTACAATAAATTTATAGTATGCTTAGCTGGCCAAACATTATTCAAGTGGTTATATATGTGGGAGTATTGTGAATGATATCTATCCTGAGCTTTTGAATCAATTCATCTTAGATCTCCAAGACAACATGAGGACGGTACAACATATTTCATAAATCTGACAATAGAGTAGAAAAAAGGAATGAGCACAGAAGATACCGTTTTAGAAAAAGACCAGCTACAATCAGAAATAGGGAGCAACAAATCAGATAAATAAATAAAGCCCCTAAGCTTCAGTGTCAGTGCTGCAGTAAAACTCTTTAACTGCAGTGTTTGCTTGTTGTCTCACAAAGCACAAATTTTTATAAGTGTAAAGTAATGTGTCAGAACTATTTAAAAATGCACATAAAAATAGGTCCCTAATTCAAAGCTATTTGCTTTCAGGACTGGAGGTTTTTCATGATTTGTTGTAATATACATTTATAATTCACGTACCATGCAGTTTCTTAATCTTTTACATATAATACAAGTGTGTTAATAATATTGTGATGAATGTTTTCCTTTGAGGGTATTCATGGCTTGAAGGGGGGTTCAATTATGAAATTAAAAACATGTTTTGTTATATTTTCTTCCTTGGACAGTTTAGTCATGATACAGAGTCGGTTAATAATGTCCCATGAAGCACGAGAGACAGTTTTAACGTCTTTGTTAAAAAGTGACACTGTACAATAGCTTCCACAGTAAAACCACAGTGAGACCCCATTCTGACCCCTAACCCTGACCCAAATATCTTACATAAGTTCATTCCAAACAGGATGGCAATTCTTGAGAGGAATAAAAAGACAAAGATCACGCTTTTAAGTAGGAAACTGAAACAGTGAACCAGGAGGCAGGTTTGAAATCATTGTACAAAAGAACTAACAAGACCCCCACCACCACTTAGATGCTTATTCCTTGAAAAAAAAAATAATAATAATTGGAAATTAATTTCTTTTTACAGGTTGAACAGTTTATTTTTGAGCAACTGCTTGACAGATTCCAGTATTCCAAAGAAGAGGGGGATGATGGACAGACAGATGGAGAACGGAGAGACATCACTCTTGCTCTGTGCATCCCAGTATTTCTACACGCAAAGTGATCCTGCCGTACCACGACCAGGGAAGGATCCGCACAAACCGAGCGTAGACTGGGGGATCTATCACGTTCTTTCTGTGTGTGTCGTTGTCGAAGTTCCCCTGGAATACCTGAAAGAGAGGCAACATGGGGTTAGATTTTTTTCAACATTACTGTAATACACACAAGTAATGTACTGTTCAGTGTGTGCACTTAATGTATACATATACATATATATATATATATTTTTTAATTACCACAAATCACTATGTTGAATCTGTATGCATTAGTACACAGTTGTAATTACAACATAATTACAACTAATTCAGTTGTAATTGTTTTTCAATAATATTTAAATTTACTGAGATGCACCTATACGTTTTAATGACATTTTAATGTGCCAACCATATTCGTATTATCTCTGTGCAACACATCTTATTCCTCATCCATGTCATGCAAACCTTCTTTATATAATCCCTTTCTAAATTTTATGAATATTCCCTTTAATACATCTTTTAAAAAAATAATTTAAGGTTTGACCATCGTAATACATATTCACCACACAGGGACACAAGCTCTCTGGTGTATTATTAAAAGGTTCAATGTGTGCTTAATGACAGCAGCATTAGAAATAAATGCATCTGCAGGGGGTGCTTCATTCAAGGATCTGATAATGTCAATTTAACACTTATTATTATGCCTGTGTAATTGGGATGTAATGGGATTCAGTCTGGTGTGGAATAGAAAAGCAGTGGGATAAATCCAAACAGGTGCTGAAAACTGGGATTTACATATTTTGACTTCATTTTAGACTAATTCCCTTTCAAATATTCATAAGAGCATGAGAAATTTGGCAGAACAGTGATTCAAATTTTGTGTGTTTAGAGTGAATAATCATAAAGTGTGGAGCATATTTTGCACTTCAACAGTTCAAATAAAAAAAAGACAAATAAGAGAGAGAAAAAAAATCTAATTAAAGCTGTCAAAAGATTTGTGGATGAGTTCTAGTGGATTATAGCCTGGGAGAAAATATCTAAATTCCCTCAGGCTCACCATAAACACTTGTAAAAATTAAAAGACGGGATACAGTCTTTTGGGAATTTAGTGAAACTTAAAGTATACATTTCTGCAAAGATTTGTCAACACAGCTGGTTCAGCAGTTGCCAGAAGGTTGCATTTTGTATTACTTAAAATACTTATCTGAAACGATTAGCTTTCTGCTGATCTAAAATGCTAATGAAAGTTCAATGGAGAGTTCAATTTTAACATCTTTTCTCCAGCTCACTATTAAATCCAAAATCTATTTTTAAATTACTATTTACTCTTTTTTTTAAAAAAAAAGCTGTGAATATAGTTGTTATTTCGCTCACATATCAGATTCACTGGTGGCTGTGAACACAGGGGCCAGTGGCTGCATAGGACTGGAACTGACTCCTGTTACGGCCCCTGTACTAAAGAGATTATACTAAATCAGTTTCTTATGATATTTACTGGCACAGAAACTGTAATTATTTGCTCCCCTGGAACAATTAAATGTTTTATCGTCACAGTTTTCCTTCAACAATGAATACAAAACTAAGGTGTTGCACTTTTAGCTTTAGCCGTGTTGAGGCAGGTTCACAGTTTTTATCTGCTAGATCAGAGCTCTGCAACTTTCAGCTCTGGAGCTGCAAGTGTAACTTAATATATGAAACGTTTAAACATTGCAATGTATTTTTTTTTTTTTTTTCTATGCCCTCCTGAAAAAACACTGGTGCCACCCGGAGACTGCCTCCCGAATAAATTTGGCTTCTCTAAAAGCAAACTAAGAGGCTGCAGAACAAGCTCCCAATTTTTGTCTTTGATGCAAAAACCCATTAGGTTTCTGGGTTTTAGTGGGCCTAAAACCCAAAGATTTTAGGGCCACTATATTCTTGAAATATCTTCATAAATAGACTGTAATATGAAAGATAGTTTCGCTGTGAAACACTTTTATTGACTCTTTAGTTGTGGATTCTTTGGAAGTAGGTGACATGATGTAACTGTCAAGATTTTAAAGGCTTTTACTTTCAAATGAGTGTGTAAGTTTCTGTTGTTTTGGTCTGAGAAACATTGTAAACAACACACAGCTTCATAAATGTTATTGCTTTTAAGCTTTCAACAACTTTAGGTCACTTTTCTCGCATACTTTTCATCATAATCTTTCTGCCGTGTCAAATTCAGCTCATCAGATTATTTATATCCAAGCAAGAACACATTATCACAATCTGCTCTCTTGTTTCTTCCTCTATCCCTTATGCAGGTGCTCTTATGCTTTGCTGTTTGTTTAGATGCTAAGCATGCAGATAATTATGCATTGTGACATTCTGCGCAAATATAGCTACATACATTTTAATTTCCCTTGTATTTTACCAATGTTTTTTTCAAATGTAACTAAAAAGGTATACTCCATATAAATGACGTAACTTCCACTGAGTTTCAATGTTGTGACCCTTGTTAACAGAATAAAATCATCAACTTCTGGCTCGTCATATTCTCTTGTGCTCCCGGATTCAATGATTCCATGTGTGGGAATAAAAGCCACACAGAGATGACAGTCAATGCTCCACGTCATACATTTTCAGAGTTTATTCTAACATTTAAAAGTATAAAATCACATTGACAACACAGACACTCCAAACACATTAAAACAGACATTCATTTACCTGAGACAAATAGAAAAGAAGAAGAAAGAAAGAAAGAAAGAAAAGCAAAGACATCTTTGGAGAGTTGCAAGAGCAAATCTGATTTGTTACTCCTGTGTACAAACTTTTATAGTAAAGGCATATTATTGTCTTCAATTTATTGAAATAAGGCGTATCTTTGTTCATCCAACCAGGAGCTGTCTCGAACCCCTTAAAAGTTAGAAACTCCCTACAATTTGTTTTCAAGATCAAACATTAGTTGTCACCTTTATCTAAACAAAGTGGAAGTGAAGCTTCTCCTCCACTGGCCTGGACTCCTGCTGTTTTATGACTTTTCACAGATCAGTGTGAAAGCTGGAACTTCTCCTGATTGTTTCCCACACAGACAAAGGGCAGTTCAAAAGGTCTTAGCAAACAGTCTGCTGTAACTACAGGTAACATAAAGGTCAATAGGGCAGAATAAGTTATTAATCTGAAAACTATAATGAGGCTATTTCAATTAAGACATGTTAAGTTTTAAAACTAGCATATTTTAAATTTATTTTCTTAACACCCTTCATAAACTATTTGCATTAAGTCTATTCCCCCCCCCCAAAAAAAAAAAATGGGATTAGATTTTAGGTATAAATACAGCAAACTGTCCACAAATACAAGGTGAACTTTAAGACTGCTCTTTTCTGAACAACTACGTAAATTTACTGCATTTATTTCCACCCAAAACAACCAAGTAAGAGCTGAGTCATTACTGGCCTAGGAAAGGTCTCCAATGCCTAGAAGCCCATATGATAGCACCCTGACCTAATTAGTGTCGATTGAACTGGACCTGGTCCATTTTGAAAAGAAGCGGGGCTTAAAAGAGCTCTCAATATCCCATAGAGCGTGACATTTACTATGACAGTCTTTGATTAATCATCAGATCTAATGAAACGTCATACTCTCACTATAAGAAATGGCACATATTTAAGAGGACCTGCCCTGTATAACCTAGTTAAGGCTTGATGTAGCATACTTACATTAAGTCTGTTTAATAGTATGAAAACATATGCACAATATTTGCACTGATAATTCATATTATGATAAGCAAAGGTATGTTTTTTTCAAAGTCTTTGATGGTGTAAGGTGTAAAATGAGTCGCATGGAGCATCGCCATGACTGTAAGGTGACATCTCTGGGATATCAAAGCACAGAATGAAGGGCCTGACAGCAATAAAACCTGCAGATCCTTGAAATATGACAAGGTCCTTTCCTAGACTGTCTGGAGACGTGCACAGTTTCAGAAGCAATGTCTTTAAAATAGATTCTCTCCAGACAGATATGTGAAAAATGACGACACAAAGATAATGAGAACAGAAGTGAGGGACATAAAGACAGTTATAAACAATAGCAAATTAGAAAGTATTTTGTTGTTTTGTCGACAAATTTAGGGAAAATATTTAATAGAATAAGTCTGGTTCTCTTAAAACCAGACCCGATATTTAGATTACTGGAATAAAGTGAATCTTCTAACATGAACCATCTACCAGTGTATTCTGATGTTTTTAGAGGACAGCACTACAGGGAGGCAGTTTATCAATACATGGACATGGTTTGCCACATTAATCATAATCATTGCAATCAGCAGTCAGGTCTAATGATGCTGTAATCAGTGTATGAATAAGCATTTTGGTATTTCAAAAGTGACAAGCAAAGATTACAATAATGACCATGTCTGTAGGAAGGCAGCACAAGGAAATTAGGCGACACAAGGAAACTGATAATGTAAAAAAAAAAATAAAAAATCAAATCTATAACTGTGTATAATAAACATAGTTACTCATTGAGTTTGGAAAGGCAAGACACTTAGCACACTTAAAGAACAAAATAAATTACTTTATGTGGCATGCAGCCAGAAAGTTTGAATAAAAAATATGTCTCATCCTTTTTCATTGTTTGGAGCTGAAATTGATATTGAAATATACATATGAATAATTCAACCCATGCACAACTACTTTTGTGGAAAAGGAATGTTTTAGTACATCCACAATAGTTTGAGTTTTTTTCATGAATAAATCCAAAATGGCAAATTGTATTACAGACATTTAGGTATTTCTTATTACAGTTTGAGAACGTATAATTAACAACATATAATCAAATTACGATAACAGTTTACAGTATGGGGAATACCTAACCAAACTACTCCTACTAGTTAAAAGGTTATTTCTGTACCTGTCTGTATCTAATGCTTTATGTAAAAAAATAAAATAAAATAAAAAATAGCTTGATTAGCACTGAAGATGAAAATTTGGCTAAAGAATTCAGATTGGTGTGGCGTTTAATCTTTTGCATATAAAAGATGCCACCTTCAATAACTCAAGTTCAGGTTAGCTTAAGACAGAGGGGGGGGGGGGGGGCCCCGGGCCTTTGGGGGGGGGG